AGTAAAAAGAATCAAATCATTTTGTTCATCGTCCATTACTGATGGATTTTTTGTTTACTATTCAATGAAACATATTTTCTAGACTTCACATGAAACATAAGTTTTCATATTGAGAATGTGTTTGCACATGTAGATTTGTATAAACAATGTGGCAAAGAAATGACTGCAATGAAGGAAAACACAGTATGGAATTTTATATGTATTATATGTATAGCATACACAAGGTATTTTTTGTGCCATAGGTTTTATACTGTTTCAACATTAACGTATAGTATTAGTACGAAAATTAGCATGTCGAACCACCACTGCTATAAATACATAAAATCTGTATCATTATGATTACTAAACGTACATGTTGCTTTACATTAACGTCCAACTAAATGAAGAAATAGTAAAAGTAGTAATAGTAAATGTCTTCTCTATTTCTTTTTTCCGGTTATCAAAATGTACTTTTCAGTTATTGTAAGTTAATTAACATGCACAGCAAGGTCGAGGTCTTAACATACATGTATGTTTACCGACTCCGATTACGTCAGAAATCAACGAGAGTGGATGGAATTAAATAGACGAAATACGTAATCTCCCATTCATTTGTCATAGTGGTATTATTAAGCATTGTGAGTGTATTACTCGCAAGCGTGCCACGTTATAATGAATTGTGCTATCAAAAAGATATGGAACAATGTCCATTTACAAATTAACAAAGGGAAAGTATTCGCGTGTATCAAAAGGATATGTAAATATATACAATCTGCAAAGTAATTTGCAACTACACGCTTCCTCACTTTTCATGTTTGTGTATTTCTATAGTAGAAACAATAGAAAATAGAAATATACAAATATAGTTTTTCTTTTGGTATTTGTTTAAATATCAATGACAATATAGAAGTGCACACCACTATAAGTCACACAGGGATTGAATGTATGTTCAAGTTGATGAAATTCAAAGAGTCGTCTAAAATGAATTCATGATGACAAATGCTATGCATAGATTATAAATGTAAGCATTTACGAAGCATTTCGATGAAAATATTAAGTAATAAGAAATTTGATACTCGAACAACAGATCTTCTTGATAAAAATATAACTGACTATGCTTAGGATCATCTATAATTTTATTTATTAATTTGTTTGAACATATTTTTGTATGGTAAACCTTCGATATATATTGGCTTTCTTACAGATCTTCACGAAACACATGGAAATTTAAATTAAAAAATTTATTATATATATTATTATTATTATATATTATTTATTATATATATTGTATATCAAAAATTAAAGATGTATAATTACGAGGTTCGTGAGAACTATGTATGTGTGTCATCGGAACACGGTTGGTTTAAAAAATTATATATTAACATCACCCAAGTTGTCGAAAAGGAAATGATTATACAAAAATCAAAGATCGTAATCTCGTTCAATTAGGGACTTCCCGCAATGCTTATGCATTATCGAGACGCGGTACAGTCGCTGGGAAAAATACGAAACAAAAAAATGTTGTTCAAACGCAATAATGGCGTTGATACTTATATAGGGTGGTTCTGTTATTACTCGTAGCGAAAAATGTGGTTCACGTACAATTGAATAGTTTCAAAAAAGACGCAATCTGACGTTAATAGTTCTTTTGTAGGTGGACGCGTAGGGAACCTATGATGGTCATTAATAATCTGCGGATTTTATGCATTTATGGTGCAAGTGGATAGTTGCAATTTAAAATAGTAGACATGTCCGGAGAATTCAAAAATATCAATGTATCATTTTCAACTTACTAAAAGTAATTGATGAAAGAAAGAACTTGCTATTTAGTCTATACATATTTCTTACAATTGATGAAGACATAAAAATCCGACATCTAGTTATTAATGTTTCTTTAGATAGAAACATATATGTATATAGATTTTTTATTGAACCAAGTAATGCAACTTGATATTCTTTGCACAAATGTATGAACCTACTTTTGTCAGAAAATCATTAAAACTTCTCCGAATTGGAACAAGAATCATTGCATTATGGGAAACTCTCCCGTAGCGTTGTGTCAACATAACAGTAACTTTAATGACGCGTCATTTCTTTGTCCAGGCACTGATCCCAGTATCGTCAGCTCACGGTCTAGGCGCCACGTCCCTTGCGCTAACGGTCACCAAAGCTCAAGGTGTTTTTATGGAAGCCATCGTGACGTTCCTTCTGGTTCTGGTCGTTCATGCGGTGACCGATCCGAAGAGAACCGACACGAGAGGATGGGCACCGATGGCGATCGGATTGACTATCACCGTGGCTCATATGGCAGCCGTGCCCGTAACAGGGAGTAGTATGAATCCTGCCAGAACGCTTGGTCCTGCAGTCATTCTAGGTGAATGGGAAAACCTGTGGGTTTACTGGGTCGGGCCCATACTTGGTGCTTGCGCTGCCGGGGCACTCTACAAGATGGGGTTCAAACGCAAAAAGGAGGACGATGAGGCGTCCTATGATTTCTGAGGATAGAATTAAGAGCAACTTGCTTCTTTACATTGCATCTAAATACAAATCATCCGAACGGTTAAACTCGTCTGAAGGCTGTCTCTGTTGACATCGCCATAAAAATCCCATTTATAAAGTTCCATTTATTACGATGTACAATAGAATTTGCATTCTTCGTTTAAATTTTAACAAACGCTACTGCGTATTTTAATCGAGTGGCTCGCGATTAACGTTCGAGAATATTCCATACATTTTACTCGGCTACTGTAAAACGTTTCTCCCAGGACTCGAAGCACGAAGCAATGCGGTATTTAATGCGACACATGGTACGAAGTAATTTACGAACTAATATTTATTAAGCCGTTTCTATTTATTCCTTACGCAAAAACCAACAAGTACTTATTGTGAACGGAGAACAATTACGTACAAATTTATAAAAGAATTTTTCTATGTGGTAGTTTAGACAAATAATCTGTTGAAGAATACAATCCTTTTCTAATTAATATATACGGTGTAATTTGATTCATACTTGTTGCGTTATTACCATAATAGATAAAGATAGCGATTCATAATTAGAATGCAATTCGAATCAAATACAAGTATGTACACCTAAAATGTTCAGTACTTACTTAGATTTAGTCTCTATGTTT